GAGGCGGGAAAGGCCTTGACCTGCTTTGCCAGGAGTTGCTGCTGAATGTGCTGCTGAGCAGCTTGCTGCAGCTTACTGTATTTCTCCATTTCTTCGGGTGTAAAAGTGATGGGCTGGCTCTCCAGCGGTGCTAGAGAGGAGTCTTCTCCTCCTTCCCGATCCCCTTCGATGCTCGGCTCCCCACTCTGAGGCACGTAGCCAGGAAAGTGCTCGACATCTGGAACTAAGGGCATCATACCGGTTTCCACGGGGACCGGTTGGTTGCCCCCGTCCATCGGTTCTAGCCCATCGCCGTCGCTCGGATCCGAGAGGAAGTTGTGTGGCATGACCAGATCTCCAGAACCAAAGCACTCGGGGAGTGCCGGTGCTTCGAGGGGAATGGACGGCATTTCCACGGCAGGTTCGTCACGTTTCTGCTCATCCAGAGCTTTGTCCTGAATCACCATCACCACTTCTTCCAGGAGAGACTGGCCGCCCAGCTGAGCCTCCTCAATGCCCTGGGAAACATCCTCAGAATCGGACAGCTCTTGTTCCTCACCCCTCTCCAAGCCAGAATCTTCGTATCTTTTGGCATTTGGTTTTCGAACGGTTGGCAGTTTCCCAATTAAGGGGAGAACCGGTTTGTTGCCTAAGGAAGGAGGAAGTTTTGGGCCAAAGTAGCCCTGGGGAGGATCTTTGAGCTTTATGCCCACCTTGTTTGCCCCTGCCAGCATCTCATCAGTGACGCAGGGCTTCTTCTCAACCTTCCTGGACTGAATCTTTTCCAGGAGAAGTTTTGCAGTGACGGAGTTTCTCTCCTCCGGACTGCAGTCGCCTTCTGAGGCCCTCCCTGTGCCAGAGCCACTGCTGTTTTGGGAGAGCGAGCCAGAGCCTTTCAGATCCTCTCCTTTGCCGTCTTCTTTCTTCAGCGATGATCCTTCACTTCGGCCTGTCCGGAAATAGTGAGGAGACTGCGAGCGATAGATTTTGGACCTGATGAAGTCTCTTCTCCCGGACCTCCTCTTTTCAGGGCTCTCGTGGCCTCGAGAGCCCTTTCGCGAGAGGGACCTCTGCGAGTGGCTTCTTGTACTGCGACTGCGATCCCTGCTATAGCTGCGGCTCCGTTTCCAGCTACGACCCGTTACGCTTCGGCTTCTCCTCTTGCTTCGACTGCGGCTGCAGCTGCTGCTGCGTGTTCTGCCCCGGCTTCTTGATCTTGACCTGCCTCGAGGGTGGGTTCGGCTCCTACTTCGACTCCTCGACCTGCTCCTACTTGAACTGTAGTCATCTTCAGAAGAGGAGTACTTGCGCCGCTTCGATCTGTGATTTGAGCTGTTGTAGTCAGAGTCATCCTCCGAGTCGTGGGACCGCTTTGAATGGCACCGTGACCTCTCACTGTAATCGCTGTAGCTATCATCTGAGTAACTTCTCCGACGGCTGTACCGGCTGTGGTCCGAGGAGGCGTCAGAGCTGGTGGAATAAGACCTGGGAGAGGAGTGTCTCCGTCCCGACCTGGAGCGGCTCCTGGAGTGGTCGCTGCCGGAGTCATAATCGTCGCTGTACTGCGACGGGGATTTCTGCCGGCAGTGCTTCCTGTGAGAGCCCTCGTCGCTGTCGTAGTCCCCGCTGCTCTGCCGGCTCCGGTGGCTGGTCCTGCCCAGGGAAGGAGCCAAACACCGTCTTCTCGAAGCAGGTAACTGCTGCAGGTCAGCCTTGTGTTTTCTGCTGCCGTGCTCCGGGCAGGAGTTACCACCGTCCTCTTTTTTACCGCTGCTTCCCTCTTCAGCAGACAGAGACTTCCTCTGGGACTCCTGAGAGCACCACTTTTTCTTCTGGAAATGGCTACAGTCTTCAGACAGTTCGGTTTTTAGTGCCCGTTCCGATTCAGTAGAAAGAGAAGATTTTATTTTTTTGTGCCTGTGTCTTTTCCGTTTCTTGGGTTTCTCTTCCCCCAGGTCAGTTTTTCGGCTCTTCTCATCAGCTTCTTCCTTGTGTTTACGTTTGTGTTTGCCGGACTTTTTGTGCTTCTTTTTCTTTTTGTGTTTATGGGATCTTCCAGATTTACTCTTACCAGTTATGCTTTTACCACCGTCCTCTCCCTCTCCCTTACTCACGCTTGCCAAATTGGAGTCCTGCTTGTTATGGGAGCCACAGGAGGACAGAGATTTGGTTTCCATTTTTAGAGTAGAACTGTTAGCTACGCTTTCTGCCTCCTTGGGTTTGCTGATCTCGCCAGATTCCGTGCTCTGAACGTTTTCTTTACAAAGACCCCCCGGGTCCTTAGATTTCTCTGCCCCTTTACCTTTAGCATCTTTGTTACGAGAGAGCTTGAAATCAAAATACAGGGGGTTACAACTGTATGAAACAGATGGTTCTGCTTTGGTGAATATGAGAAGCTCTGAAGGCCACTGGAGAGTCGTGCTCTCATCTTTACTCAGAACGGGGAAAAAAGGTCCCGTTGGATGCTTTGGTCCTTCAGCAACATCTTTGCAGCTTGGGACAGGCTGAGCAACTTCTTTAGTAGTGTCTGGCTCGGGGAGGTTGCTCTCTGCAAGATGCTTGCTCTCCTGCGGACTCGTGTTTTCTGGGACTTCTTTTAGTTCTGTTTTGCTCTGCTGAGCCGCAGTTTCAGTAGTACTCTGCTCCTTCTGCTGACCCGTGCTCTCAGCAGCCTTCTCCGTGTGCTTGCCAGGTTTGGGTTTTGGAGAACTGCCCTTTTTAACTTCATGTGTGGTTTTTTTGTTCACATTTTCAGCTTCCATTTGATCGGTAGACTTCATGAAAAGCAGGAATTGAAAATTAGGCTTTACTTTACAATGGGCTGGGGGAATATAGTGGTAGTATTCTGGTTCAACTGCCATTGGTCCATCTTCTCGTCTCATCTTTTTTAGTTTAGATAACGTAGTGGCTAGAGACCCACTATCTTTGTCGTGTTGGTCATCTTCCTCCGCCTTGCTGTCAGAATTACTTGTGCTTTCGCCCTCGCCAGATTTCTGCAGGCTCCCTGCATCTGAGGACCCTCTCTCATCAGCTTTTGCTCCATCTGCAGAACTCGATTCTTCCACGTGGTCCTTGAAAACAGAAGCTATGGTCTCAAGCTTTACCGGAGTCTTCTTGGCAAATGAAAACGACACTCCTATCTTCTGCAGCGGAGTTCCCAAAGTACTCTTAATGCCAAAGCTGATCGCTTGCGCTGTCTGGATGGGCATTTGGCTTGGCATAACGGTGCCACCCGCTTGTCCAGTGTTTAGGAAACCTCTGTCCATAGTCATCTCTGTAGCTTGGCCAGAAGTCGTCTGGATGAAAGAGCTGCTGTTGGCTGCAGAATCATCATCATCTCCACCTTCCTCATCCACAGCCACCGTGGTGGTTCTGAACATGGGTCCACTTCCAGGAGCACTGTATGAACGAGGTAAAACAGAGAAACAGCTGACTGCCATTGTACACCTCTGCAGGCGGTTTCACCCCTCATCTAAAACAGTCTTTTACGCATTTCCAGTACTCCTGTATCCAGAAAGATGCAGTAAAATAGCATTATGCACCCATTTGAAATCTTTAATAATATTAAATAACGGAAGAAAACGTACTGCTGGATAAAGCAATTTGAGGATGCTCAGGACTACCATTTTAGCAAGTTCACTCCTACCAAAATCACAGCACGAGGCCAAACTTAAGCACAAAGCTTTGCCCTCAGAACTCGCACAGGATTACAGGAGCAAGAATGCCAGCGCAGCAAAGGGCCGCAGTCCGTGTCCGTCCCCCCCCCACGCTCCAAGGGTGCTCGGGGATCACCCGTACTCACCATTCAGGCTGTCTTCTCTGTTCAGCCAGTTCGTGTAGACGCCGGAGGGCTTTCTCCTGCTTCCTTTCATCTTTCCGTGATCTTGAAGACACATTGCGAGCAAATTCCCTTTGCTTGAGATCTTTCAACCTCTGAGGTAAAAGAGAGCAGGAACAGATTAAAGGGGTTTGTGGTTAAGCATCCAAAACCCTCTCTTTGCTGTAGCACTGGAAAGTACGCTGTAAAGCCCCTCCCCAGTAACATTTATTGAGCTAGGATAGAGCAACAGTATCTTAGCTCAACAAACCAAATGGAGCACATTGCCATCCGCCCAGTAGCTAAATGAAACGACAACTGTTGATCACTTTTGGCTACGACTTGAAGTCTGAGTATATGCATTTCCAATCAACATTACTGGTTTTCTTTAGCATGTACAATAAAGCTGATTTCAAAGCAACAAGCAAATTTTGGAGAAAAAAACCCAAAAACAACAAAAAACCCCAACCCAAACCAAAACTGTTTACTTCGCTGCTCTTGCAGGGTGCAAATGTACTTGACACACAGTGCGTGACAGGAGTCTTAATAGCATGGGCCAAAGAACAGAAAGGGATTAGCTGGTGCAAGAGGTACCCAGGTATTTTATCTTACAAAAGCAATGTACAAATTACATTGGAGAAGGTGCCAAAAATCCCATGCAGATGATTCCAGTAAGCAAATAAATAATACAACATACACCACAAACAGTTACTTGCTTTCCTGACAGTAGTTCTGAGACGGTCTCTCAAGAAACAAAATGCTCTAAAATGCAGTGGGGTCTTTTGGGGTTTAATATTTTAGAGGGCAGAAACACTAAGTTCCCCAGAAATCTTATCATGTGAGGAAGCAAACCCAAGGAATTTCAAACATCGTAACATCTCTGAGGAAATCTAGATATCCAGTTCCAATAGAAATCGAATATCCGAGACTTCAGAAAATTTTTGAAAGTCCTTGTCTGAAAGCACTAGGAAAAGAGGCTGCTGGTTTTCCTTTGGATACATGGGAAAATTCACAAGGCATTTTTTGAGAGCTATACAGAAGTTTAAGTCACAGAAAGCAGCAAAGACAGACCTCTACCATCCTACGGGAAGAATAATTCTTTTTTTTTTTTTTTTGGTGCACAATTTGAAACCCTTTCAAAAGGCCCAATTCCAGAAAGCATAACATAGCCAGCTTTTGAAAAAGTTTCATGTTTTTCAGGCATTTTGTGAAGGGCCTGAGAGACTAACGGCGCTCACAGCAGTAGTCACTTTAGAAAAATCCTCATACAAGATGTACAAATCATTGGTGAATTCTAAATACACCTTCTGGCTGGCTGACTCTGTCTCTTTAATGGAGCAGTCAGACCAGTACACACAGAAACAGTGGATCTGAAAACTAACCCAAAGTTCATATTAGAGGAATTAAGTTGGCCCAATGTAAAGAGAACATTGCTTTGTCAAAAAGGGGAAGATTTGACAAGACAGAGGATTCTCTTACCTAATTGTATTTACTAAATGTGGTTGAGCGTTACCAAAATCAGAGGGGAGGACACACAAAAAAAATACAGCTATAGACACTAGTAGAAAGGAACTCACTCTTGTGATCTGGACTCCAAAATTAGAAGGGTTTGCTTTCAATACATCAGCTGAAAACGTCACATCACAAAGAAAAAAGAAAGTAAAAATATAACAAGAGTGGAAGAGAGAAAAAAATAAAAATAAAACCCAAGCATTACTAACTACACAGGCTGTTGGTGTGTGTGCAAGCTATTCTACAGAGAAGGAGTCGAGCCAGCGAAGCTACGGGACCGAGCTTAGGGAATCTGGAGCAGAAGGGGGAACACACATACACATACACACACGGGCACAGCAACAATCCCCCCTGGAACAACAGAGCTACTTTCACCAGGACAAGTAAAGGGCTCAAGGGTTTTGTGGTGTATGTTCAAGGTTGAATAGTAATTTTTTTTTTCCAAGAGGGAGGAAAAAAAAATAAAATATGGATTAAGCAATGCTATCAGCTTTTTCATGCTGATTTAAAAAGCGTATCTAAAATGCTCCAGGAAGTTAAAGTCACCAACATCTGAAAAAACTATTTAACTGGGGTTTGATGCCAAGTCTCTATGTCACTCATCCATTTGGAAAAAAATATGACCCAGCTATTTACAACAGAAATGAACTGTGACCTTTTGCTTTCAAAAGGAAGGTGCAATGGTGCACTCAGGAACCCCTCTTCCCCCTCCCAGACATGGCCTTTAACATCTCCCCCTGCAGTAAAACGGGCTCAAAGTCAGTTGATAGCGTTGCAGCTGCCCACAATGCAATCCTGCCTTCACTACAATGGCCAGTTTTAACGAAAACAGAATTAAATGCCCAGTTCCTTACATGCTGACCTTTGCAAGTCTCTGCTCCCCCAAACCTCCCGCTCTCAACTCTTATAAATTAGAAAAGATGAAGCAAATGAACAATCCTGATGCACTGCAACCCCAAAATAACGCAACACACGGTAACGCCCAGCTACGCTGATATCTGTGCCTTTTAAGATGATAAGCCACTAGCCAAGACTTTCAAGACTGCTGAGAACTTATTACTCCCCAAATTGGGGAAAAGTTGGTCCAATTTTACAAGGCTGACTTTACAAAGGACTAAGAGATCTCAAGGCCGAGATCCTTTTTGTGGCACAGGGGCCAGAAGGAAGACGGGTCTTGCTGGGTAAGTACAGGATAGCAAAGCTCCACGACTGCACCATGCCATCTCCTTGGGAATATAAAATACAGAACACAACGTAGCTCAGCATCTTTGACCTAAAATGATGCATCTATCATCAGAAATAATTTCTCAAGTTTGCAAGGAGCCAAGTTCCAAGCAACCTGGCTGGACTGCATTATAAATACAATCTAGGGTAGGGGAAGGAGGGATGACAGAAGACCAGGCTGCTCATCTGTAAAAACACATCACTACAGGAATAGATGCAGGCGGCTACGTGCTCAGGCAGCTGATGAGCACTGAACTTTTAAAACAGCCAGAACTTTTCAGAATATCCTGTCAGAGGAACCCTTACGTCACTAGTTGTTCCAAGCGCATGACTGAACCCAGTAATTTATCCACTAAAAAGACCAGAGGATAACCAGTTAACTACAGCTACACCTTCCCTCCCCCCTAAACCTAACTGAGGTGAAGCAATTAAAAGCCTGAAATACAATTTCACAGTAGTAAAAGGAGCATATTGAAGCAATGAAATGCTTTTCAGCAGACTCCAGATCTCAGCCTTCCCAGAAAGCTATTTGAACTAAATCGATATTTAAGCTAAGCTTACGCTAAAGAAATTTCCATCTAATCCTTAGGCAAGCGTTCATTATTCTAATCCCCCAAAATCTCTAAATTACTTTTTGGACTGCACCATATGTGTGGGTGTTCACAGAGGCTGGACAGCCGTGGGAGGCGAGCTGCACAGCTGCCCCTTCCCCCCCAACACAGCAAAGACATTTAAATAAGAATTTAAAGTAGTCGCTAATCATTCTTGGGGAGCTACTCCCCACCTACTAAGGAAAAGGAGCCCTGGGAACCCATCTTCTTGGGGTGAACCAGCCTTTTTAAGTCTTCCCACGGTACTCAGCAAGAATATAATTTCTTCAACAGGATCAGGGCCACCAACCTGCATTAAATCAAACATACAGCTTCACGCTACTACAGGATTTAAAAATTATGAAGCATTTTTTCTTGACAGGCAGTGTGTTTTCTGAGGAAGCAGAATGCTTTCTAAGCAGCAACACATTTACAAACTGCAGGATGATGGTGACCATGAAGCCAAGAAATTCTATTCTGCTGGTTTATTACTTCAGTCGCACCAGTAAGCCCAGTGACCAGCAAACAGGGACACAAATCACTAGGACTCAAGTAAAGTTTCTCCAAATTTCTGCATGCTAGAAGCAGTAATACTTTACCTCCAGCCTTCCTTCAGCTCAGTACTGAGTTTTATTAATAGCTGCCACCCACCTCAGCTTTGTAACAAAACAGTATTTTAAGGTTTTGAGCCTTGTTTCTACCAAAATTACTAAGAAACCTCTACATTTCAATGGGAGTGCAAATCGAGCTCTCGAAGAACAGGTTTTATAGAAAATCAGTACTCCGGCACAAAGAGAGCTACAGTAATGGATTATCTCCTGATCAGTGCATAGCTCAGGAGGGGCCAAACTGGCGTACAATGCCGTTACCTTACAATTCTCCTCAAATTAGCTTAAATAAGCTGCACTCCTGCATCATTTAAAAGCTCTAGAGATAGCCATCACGGACACGTGAAGATGGTTAAACAAAAAGGAGACGATCGGGATTCAGAAACTGCCGTAACAGGAAAAAAAAAAACCCCTCAGCGCACACTGTGGCAACCACACATGAGATTTTGCTGGTGAGACAGTATCGAGGTAAGACCTCCCCAGTACTGGAGTGCATTGCTTTTCAGGTTTATGACCAGCGGTAAATGGATTTTCTCAATTTAAGTTGACAAAGCCATGCAATTTCACTGAAGTGAAGCCCGTTTGAGAGGCATTCTTTGCCTAAAATTGCAGAGCAGAAAGAGATCGTGTTATTCTCCGAATAAAAAAAAAGCACTCTGCTTTACGAGACCTGAAGATCTGCGACTTTCCTGACAAACCTTATATTCAGAAGAGAGGGACAGACCGGATGCACGTACAGCGAGATCTCTGCACTGGCTCGAGACAGGAGGCAGCTCGTGACAGCACAATCCCATTAGAGCCTACTCCTCCCCTGCTATTGTTCTCAAGTCTCTCTGCCAATCCCTATTAAATAAAATAATAATGTACTTTTCATTACATGCCAGCAGATTTCTGGCTTTCTGAACTTTTGACGTATGCTCGATTCTTTGCCACAAAAGCTTCTGGGAGAGAACTACACCATTAGCTAAATATGAGCTCAAAGGATGGCAACCTTTATAATTTTATATAAGTGAGAACACAAGCCCTGCTTATTTTTGGTAATCAACATTCTTTGCACGCTCGTAAATGAAGTGAAAAGAGCAGAGGGGAAATGGCATGCAACTGCAGTTTTATTTTATCTTAATTTCTTCCCTGACACCTCATTTTCAGCTTAGGACAATATACCATGCGTTAATGCACCACAGCTAACCCATTTCACGAGGCTAGCATTGCTTGTGATCACAACGTTCAGGCCTTGAACACCGAACACTTATTTTATTGAACACTCTCCGTGTATAAGTGCTCTTCTCCAAATGTGTTTGCCATCAGCAAATGAGCAGCTGGGTTAAGAAAAATACCGTGGGGTTTTTGAGGGTAAAGCATTTCTAGGGTAGAAAAGCCTCCCAAGTATCTTGGAGGTTCTCTCTCGAGTCTTCTACGTTCAAGCTGTGCTTGAAGATAAAAGTTTTTGGAAAGCACAAGCCCAGTTGTCCCCAAATCTGAAAGTTCAGGGTTTGGTTTTAGAGTACTCATCAACCACAGCAGTGACTGTGTTAGTAATTTTATTGTGCTTTAACAGATCCCTCCCCCTCAGCATTGAAACAAAGATCCAGATAATTAGGGCATGAAGAGAACTGCAGATCTATACTTTCAGTTCTTAGTTCCACCCTCTCTCCCAAATAACTTCTCTATGGAAATACATTCCCTTTGTCCTTTTATAAAGGGAAACTATGCAGAATTAATCACCTACACCACCAAAACATCACACATTTAGAAAAAAATAAAATGAAAGCTACATAAAAGGCCACATCTCAATACTTGGTTAGCATTCTCACAGTTAACCTGGCAAAAATTCACACAGGAAGATGTTTGTTTTTCACACTGAGCTCAGAAGGTGAATGTTTTTATTCTGTTGGGTCAGTGACTCAGTAAACAGCTCAATCCTTCATCAGGCACACTAGCAGGAAAGAGGTGACCATATACCAGATTCTGTAAGTTCTTGGGTGAAGTAAAAAAACCATTACTTATACGTAAGATAATTCCAACCGTAACAATTTTTGCAAACTGCTCTAAGCGACGGGTAATACAGATGAGGTTTATTTGATATGAATACACAAACTGGGCACAACCCTAGATAAGGTGACCCACATTCTTCTTCATGCAAATCTAACATGAAGTATTATTCTATCTTGATGTCAAAACCCCAGACTGAATTCAAGGCCAACTGGGATGTAATGCCCTGAGCATACATTCCCACTAAGTCCACAGTACTCTAGGAGCTCTCAAGCATCCGGACATCACGTACACAAATCTGCAGGAAAGCAGCACAAAAATACAGTGGGTCCATCTGGGCTGGCCACGTTCCTCGTTAGCTGCAGGTGTTTTCTTTCTATGTTTGCTTTCCTTTGCATTTCTCTGTTAATTACTATTAATCTGTTGACTCTGCAACATCAGAGGGAGGTCGTTCATAAGCTACCAGTCCTAGTTGCCAGGCTCAAGACCTCACAGCTAAAAAAAATCCCATTAAAGATATCAGTAGCTTTCCAGGGAACAAAAAGTTACAACATCTATGGTTACAGCCTTTTTCAGTTGCTCACTGAAGGATCTTTAAGGGAACTGAGTTTATTTTTCCTCTTGCGGTGCCATCTGTATGCACTCAAGTTGCTTTTAGTGCTCTGGCTTCCCCTGAGAGGGACTGACCATTTGGTGGCTAGATAGGGTTACTGTTCTTTAAAACATCTGTACTTCTCGTTTCAAGTGTCAACCTATTAAAAAAATAATCTAGAGAACAACATTGCACACCTCGAACAAGATGTTTAAAATGCAACTTAAAATGGCCAATGGTTTGTGATAATACATTTAAGATTCCTTTCCCAGTTAAGGTAATCTAGAAATACTGTCTTTTGGATAGAAACTTGGTGTCGAGGTCAATCCAGCCATATCCAAATGCTATACAAAACCAGTGTGGTCAGGAAATAACAGTAAAACCTCCCCTTTAATTGTTTGGTGTTGACAAATTGGTGGTGGGTCCAAAATTTATCCGGTAGGGATCAATACACTTACCTATCATCCCTGTTTCGCAATAATCCTGAGTTCCTTCCTGGAATACAAGACAGCGTCTTTATAACTCGGGAGCAGAAAGGGATCTGAGGGTGGAACATCTATTTACAGGGAGAGCCTAATGCTCACTGAGCCACAGAAGGAATAAGCAAACACTTCAATGTTGTGGGTATGTGTAACTAAAAATACTTATAGACAAAAATGATCCCATGGTAATCTGTTCAACAAGCTAAGAAAAAGGTAAAAATGAAGCACTGTTGCCTGAAGAATTACCACTGAGAAGACAAAACATTGCAAATAGTATATATGAAGCCAGTTTCCTCTAATTATCTAGGATATCATAATGTCTCATCTTTCCAAGAAAACCTGCTGATTAGCCTACCTGTAAGAAAATTTTATGCTTTTCCTCAGAAAATTCATGGTAGCCTCTTTGTAACCTTGCCTTCTTGTCCAAAGAAGCAAAATGTGAAACATCAATGTGCAATGTATTATAAAAAGCACAGCATTGTTTGTTGCTTGTTTGTTTTTTTTTTTTTAACTACCTTGTAATTTCAAATAGACTGCTAGAAATGAGCCTATCTTGAGCAGTAACGAACAACAGAAGTGAGATAGTGTTACTTATGCAAATTTACCTTCATTATTTCTAGGTAGTTTCAAGTTCACTCACTGAACACTGACCCAACAGGGTGACACACATTTCAGCACGACATAAGCTGGACAAGCAATTTTTTCCCCTAAGCAAAGCATGATTGCTTCTTTGTTTAAATCCCTGAGTAACTAGAAATTAATGCTGGATGACGTAGCGAGAGTTTGAAGGCTCATTTTATCCAAAGCCTGCCTGAAGTTACTGCAAGGGATGCAAATTACCCGAGAACATCAATTCCTTTAAAAATAAGTAGCTGTACCAAGCAACCCCCAAATTCTTTCTACCAATGAGAAGATTACACCACCCTGTGTGCTCCCAAGACGTTTTTCTTTCAGGTCACTTCTTGTACCCCTAGTGATGACTCCTTTTATACCAACGAGGGGTGATTGCTTTCCGCAGGTTTGTTTCTTCTTCCACAACGCCTCTAGATCCTAAAAAACCTCTCAGCCTTGCCCACCTCATGTCAGTCCCCCTATTAATCACCCAAGGGTTTTAAACAGGAGTTGACATAATCTTACTGCATCACCACACTGCAAGAATGTGACACAAACAGGTCCTTCCACCTCCTAAATAGATGCATGTAATTGCACTCAAGTTTCAACCAAGTTGATGGAAAATTTCAGGTGAAGTACACTGCTATCAGGTAGCACGACTGCGCCACCAGCTCGGTCAAAGCACCCCATTTTCCCAATACGAAGTAAATGAATGAATTTCTGCTCTTAAATAGATTAAACCGCAATTCATCACAGTACTGAAACAGAAATTGCCCTGCTGTGAGATTTCCTGTTAAGACTCCCTTAGTGAATTTACTTTGAGCTATCATATCCCATATTTAGTACACATCAAAAAAATAATCATACTCTGTAATGCCATACTCTTGTTTTTAAGCTGTTGCTTCACTGCTCTTTTAAGATCGAGTACTCTACCGCATATCCCCCAGAAGTTATCCACATTTTAACGATTGTATTGTTAGAATTTATGACTAGCAATATCAAAAAACCTCCTCTGAGCAATTTCATCTCTAGATGAGCACAACACTGCAATCTGCTGTACATTTACATCTCATTTAGCAGCTTCAAGTGGTCAAACAGACTGGGCTAACACAGGAACTTTTATTATTTACTGTGCAGTACAAAGTACCACGTAGATACTACGGTATATCCCTACCTTGGGACCAAAGCCAGTTCCACATAGATTCTGAATCCACCTTCTCCTAAGGGTGACAGAATTTGGAAAGTGCTCCTTTTTCACAATTCCTTTAACACAGTCCTTTATTTCCCAGTCTGTTTTCAGTAACTTGACAGAACACAGACTAAAGTATTAAAACGCACACACGTGACTTGTCATCAGTCTCCAAAGTTGCGCTATCTTAAAAGCTGATGCAAACTAGGAGACACCCATATCCACCTGTCCCCTTCCCCGTTTAGCATTCCTGCCCGTGGGTCACTCAAAACTGGGCTCCTTGATGCCAACAGCAGGTTGGGGTTTTTGTTTGTTGTTTTGGGGTGTTTTTTTAATGTATAGTGGGCATAAGACTCCTAACCAGTGACATAAACCACCTATCTCTAGGGCTCTAAGGAAAATAGATGCACCGGGGAAATTCAAAGTATTAACCTCAAACAAGGCCACAGCAATGAATATAAAATTGATGAACTGTGCTACCAACGCTTGTTTACCTGCTTGTGAGCATGATCGTATGAGTTTATGTGGTTGTCAAACTCTTGATGCTTTTGATACTGCTTGTCACAGAGTTCACAGTAGAAGTTTGCTCTGAGGTCTTCCAAAGCTTTGGCAATCGCCTTTTCTTTATCAACATAATCCTGCAAAATTAACAAAAAAAAAGCTTCTGTTAAACTTCCCGTAAAACAAACTGGAAGATGATGAGCTAGTCCTTTAAGGAAAAATAGTCCTTGAGAAAACCTTAGTGTACACCAATGATTATATTTATTAAGCTGACTGGTCTTTGCAAATTAAACGGTATGAAGGGTAACTTTGCAATACTACCAACTAGCCTTGACTCCCTTTCCTAATATAGAACAGAATCTTCTCATTAGCACAGGTATCAGTGAAAGGAAACTGCTTTAAAAAAAAAAATCCAGTGCTGACAGCAGGAAGGCAATTTTGCAGCTACAAAAGGAAAGCCTGCTGGATTGCCTGAGATGAAAAGAGAGGTTCAAAGCCTCAAGCTAACGCATAAACACACTGGCAGCTGCCTGCTCGCATAAGATGCACAAAATATGCATCAAACCAAGGAAGATCGCTGCTTTTGGAACAGAATCTTAGAACTTTAAATGCTGATACTTCCTCCATTTTGAGTGCTAACAGATGTCTGCTTGATCTCAGTTAGTCTGAAATTCAATAGGGAGGAACACAGATCCACGGCTGGGAAAGCACAGGTCAGAAACCGTTGAGCCTAATTCACTTCAGGGTAATTTTACAGTCAGAGAAATCTTCCCAGGAGCAATGCTATCCATTAAGCTGAGCTCAAATACAGCGATTACACTGGGAATGGGTACAGGTAGTTGACATTTAATAAAAGAGGGGAGGGACATCACCTTAGAGGTTGCAGACAGTATTTTTTTTTTTCCCTTATACAATTCAACATTTGCATAGGTGCAAAACCAAACCTCCAAGCAAAGGTGAGGTGTCTAAATTGGCAACGGTCACGTCCTCCCCTCCTTTGCCATAAAGAAAAGGAGCGGCTTTGGGATTGGAAGTGGCAAAAAAGCTCTGGGACTCTGTGGAAATCCCAATCTCTCCAGCGGCTATAATGGTTTGGAGGCCGAGCGCCTGGAAGTGAGCCTGTGCTGCTCCGCCTGCCCTGTCCCCAGAGCAGAGCTGCAGCCGATGCAGACCTGGGGGGAATCAGCAGCTTCTTCCTCTCGCCAGGTCATTTCAATTACAATCCCACCAGCAAAATTAATAAAACATCGCCACTCTCTACAAGAAAGCTGGGGAAGGTTTACTGCAACAAGATGGAAGCACTTACGCTGACACATACTAAAAAAGCTACAAATGCTGTATTACAAAGTATGCTGTAGTAACATCAGCATACCCCATATAGCTATTTACCATATGTATTTCAACTGGAATAAAGAGAAATTATATAAGAAAAAATAGCCTGACATGTGAGAAAAAGCACTTAAGAGTTTCCCTCTTCAATACAAACTTCTTATGGGAAACTTCCTTGCAAGAGGACCAAGTATATCTTTTTAAAATATTTGCTATGAAAGCTTTTTTCTATTTATTTAAGATCTTGTTCAAGGCAATATGGTTTATCTCCCAGTTACCACATCAAAATTACATTAAAATAATACTCCTGAGCATGTTTTCTATAATGCAAAATTCATGTAAAAAATTTCAACACCTGGGGGGGAAATCTGAAAAATTCCACAGTTAAAAGGTTGGGTTTTTTCCAATTTACAGCACTGTTCACCTTCTAAATAAAAAAATGTATTTCAAGTTCCTGCTTCCATCTATTACTGGAGGCCCTTGTTAAGAAGAAAAAAAAAAATCAACAAAACTATCTAGAGGTTTGAGCCTGAAGCTGTTCCCCAGGAAGACAAGAAATGAAAACAGAGCAGCGTGAGATCCACAGAACAATGACATTTAAAGTTCCTCTGAAACCCTGAACAAGCTTCCTGCACCATGTGTAGGGGTTTTTTTTCAGAAAGCATCCTGTGGCTAAACAATGAAAAAACAACCATTTGAATGATCAGAATCTACACAAATAAAGGGAATTAAAGAACATTTCTTGCTTGTTTCTTGGTTGCAGAGTTATCTGAAATTCCTTTGAGAGTCAGTGAATGGCTAATCAGGATGCGGCCATAGTTGGCAATTACATAATGGACTCCTGCGGAGCGATGAAAAAAATTACGCTTGCAGAGATTTTCACAGATTAATACAGAAATGCAAGAGCCCAACGATAAAGCATGCTAATAAAAACACATCCGAGTTGGGAGAGACTGCTATCGCTCCACAGAGTTCCTGAAAAAAAAAATAAATCCCATGCTGAATAATGGCAGGAAGACAAAAAAGTCTGAGAGCAACGCACGTTCGACCGCATTTGAAAAGACTATTGCAAAACCCAAGAACTTCACCATAAATCTCATTGCAGACCTGAGACAAAACATCATTACATGCCGTTCACACAAGAGCTCCTACCAGCCACTCGGAAACGAAGGAATACTTTGTACTCGACAGCTGCTGCTGTCTGAAGATACCCAGCATCGCAGCTGAGGGTTTGCTGCAGAAAGGGATCCAGGCTTTCAGCCACACGCTGCCCGACGATGGCCAACGTCACAGCCAAACCTTCCCCTCGCAGCATGTGAGCAGCATGCCACCCAGCAGGAGATTAAAAACAACAAAAAGGAGAAACATCTTCAAGGAGAACATGCAGCTGGATGTAGAGGAACTGTTCAGCACCGGCTGCAAGAGCCCATTTAAGAGCACACTTGTTCTTTAAAGTGTGCCAGAAGAGATCATTAACTGTGTTCAGCTCCAAACTAATAATTAGCTTTAAAAGTAATTACAATGGCTTTTATTTTTAAATGAACAAATATACCAGCAATTCACTTACCAGGCAAGTCAAGGTCTCACTTAAAAAAAAAAAAAATCAGGAAAGGAGGCTATAAATTTTTGTAGCTGAATAAACCGCCTGCAGTATTAACTGTTGAACCGGTGAAATGGAATTTTAGATTTGCCATGGTTATGTTTAATTTTAATGGAATTGAAACTACTTTCCCATTATTCCTCAAAGAATTAAAATTTATGCAAAACTGACACTTTATTGTAATGTCTAGGGTTCTTCTTCAACCCCGGTACTCCTCAAATCTCAGGACAATTAAACAAGCAGGCTTTCCTAAGACTTGATGTATTTTACAGGCTGGTAAGCAGAAGAGTGGATTAAAGTACTAGCAAAGACCATGTCTCCACAGAGAACTCGGTTACAGCTAATCCAAGTATGCTCCAACATGTCATGCTCAATGCCAACACAATGGTCCATTTTTATCATTAAAAAGATAACAGTCTTTGGCTTATAAAAAACCCCACAGGTTTTGTAAGCTCTGTGGAAATACAGAATAGATTTTACATTTTTTAATGCTGCCTGAGAAATTCTTCCAAAGAGATACAGTCCATCGATATCTCAAAAGCGGAGCCACGTCATACCTTCCAAAGACAGCAGGATTTATAAAACAGTATCATAATGCACTACTTACTGCTCGCTCAGTAACAATAGATCTACTCCACTTCCAGTTGATAACTGCCCATCTAACATTTCCATCTGCAGATTTTGCGCTGACAACGCGGCAGGTTCACTAGAAAAATTTGGCAGCCCTGGGTCTAGGGAAGGAAATGTTCTGCTTACCCTAGGACTGTTCTTTCCAGACCAGGAGCAAAGCCCTGCTGCTATCCTGTAGCTCTTAAGCAGCTAAACAAACATCAAGGTTAATTCCAGGAAGTGAATAACCAGTTTGTTAAAATATAAATACTCTCAACACCACCAAAACCCAAGAATACTTAATTCCCGCTACCATTACTGCAGCCTAACGAGAAGAGCTCAGCCCACAGGAACTTTGATGTTAATGCCCCTGTTTCAGTACCTTGTATTTCTGCCTCAGCTCCTCCGTGTCTTCTTTCTCCACCTCCAGTACACGCCTCCGCTCAGTGGCATCTTCGGCGTAGTCGAGCTTTTATTTAATAAAAAAATAAAAAAAAAAAAAGGATGCAATTTGTCCCATAAATACCTTGCACTACTGAGACTGCCAGAATGTATAATTTAAAAAAGATGAGGTTTGAAACAGCAGCTTTGCATATTGTGCATCACTTTCCCTTTTTTCTCATCCCACAGCGTAACCCACATGCAAAGCGGTTCATTAATCCTTCCAAGGTGGAGGCTCCCAGCACATCGCAAAGCCCAGGAATTTCGGCTAGCATCCAGACCTCAAAACTCAGGTACCCATGGGCAAACAGAGTATGTGTTTTGAGAAGTGTTTTCTTACTGTGTTTGTTTAAAAGCACGTTTTTCTTTACCTTTGATGCATAAATTCTCACCATTAAATGCCTTCCCTATCATCTTCCCGAGAGGCATGCAAAAAGTGACAGGGTGCAGGGCGCGAGCCAGAGCCAGGCGAGCTTACCTCCATTTCCATCCGCCCCATGCCCATGACATCGTACTTGACGACGATAGGGATGGGATCTGTCCTCCCTGTAAGAGGAACACACACAGAGGCGGTCAGTGGCCAGCCCGTTGCCACAGCTCACTTTACACATTGGGTTTGGGTGGTTAGAGATCTTGCCTTGGAGTGCAGAGACCAGAAAGCTACAGTGAACCAAACACAAGCCATTCTCACAGCTTACAGCCAAACCTGCTTCTCAGCTCCAAACTGATTACAGTTAAATGCACCCCGAGTACTGATAAATGGTATTTTCTGAACATTAACTGGTCACATAAAAAAATATTCTTGTGGTTAATGTTCAACCATGACAAGTCCTGGGGCAGGGCTGTTAACAGGACTTGAGAAATGAACCTTCTCAAAGCTTCCACATCAGGCAATACATCCTCCTCATCTTCCGATGCAAGCGAAAAAGCTATTACATACATTTTACTGCTCTACCACATAAATAATTGATTAGGATTTTCCCGTAAAAGATGTGGAAGCCTCCCACCCGCCAACTTTGGCCCCTTCCCAAGAGTAAGGAAAGCTGACAGAGAAGCGTGGCACAGAAACCACACTTCTTTCACCCAAAACGACCGCCCGGTCCAGGCCAGGTGGTCAAGCACCTGCTTCCCCAGCTCCTGCAGAGAGATGTTCTAGCACTCGCTGTGTCATCTGTAAGCTGTGAAAAGGACTAGTTGCGAAGAAAATTGACTTTGAACTAATCAAACTATGCTGGAGATTTAATTTTTTAAAAAAAACAAAAACAAAAACATCTTTAATCCACTCATAACCAGCCAAACAAAGCAAAATGGGGCAGACAAGCACTTTACTACCACAGCTTTTTGGGTTTTTTATTATTTTTTTTTTTATTTTTACATCACAACTCGCGCTGTTCGTTGTGATGTAAGCCCACTGAAAAAGTACTTACCTTATCCGGTGCATACCTTGAGTAAAAAAACAGAATGTTTACTTCCCTTATTATTGCTCTTGGTTTGGTGTAAACAACTGTTTTGTTATACACACATACACATATATTATACCTTTGGGCTTAAAGATCTACAGGTTTCAATCATGCCAAAAAAATATTCCATTGCCATCCACATGCGCAAAAGGTTAAAGACTTTAAAACTGCCTCAGAAAACCTGTACAGGCATCAACTTGTCTCTTTTCCTGTATCAGCCTTCTCTAACTCCTGCAAAAGCGACAGCCCACAGATCTCGGACTCCACAGAGTCCTCAAAGGGAACCTACTCTGGTCAGACTTGTGTCTTTTGAACTCTTAAAGTATAGAGGCATGTGTTTTTTCTTTCAGAAACAAGTCCATTTAATTAATCGCTTTATGCTTTTGTTTATACACCCATAAATTTGACAGGCATGTATCCACCAAGTCCAGAAATAGTTATCACGCTGATCCAAAATAATATTTTGAATTGAGCTTTTGTTTGGGTATTTTAAGTGTTCTCCATTTGAAAATGTTTCTCTTACGCCCAATGGTATAATAAAGTAAGCAGTGACTGCAATTTTTAGCAAAAGGACCAAATTAAAGACAGGTTATAAAAATGACTTCCTAAGTGCAATATCACTTTCATAACGTCTCAGCCAGGGATTTACTGGTAAGCGGTCAACCCAAATGGAATGGCTGGCAGCAAGTGCCAACAAATTATTTATTTTTTTTCCAAGCTTTTTTCTTTTTGTTTTGGTTTTTGTTTTGTTTTCATTTCTCCAGCAATCAGATCTTTCGATGCAGCCTCATTGCCCTGGTAAACCCCTGCGTAGAAACAAAGCATCAGTACTTTTGCCTTCTAAGGCAGTCAAAGTTTGTTGGGTTTTTTTGGGTTTGGTTTTTTTTTTCAAAATCTATTTGGAAATTGCAGTAGCAAGTGCTAGTGCCCATCGTGTTGGGGAAAAAAAATCAAGTTTGGACAGTATTAGAAATTTATGTTTAAACTGATTTTGGCAGTTCTAACACAAACAGAAACATCCCTTCTTAGCAATACCCTTTAATGAACAAGGATCAGACAAGTGTGCATAAAGAAAGGAAAGGAAAGGAAAATGAAAGACCAAGCAGAAGGATGATGGCTACAACAGAGAAAGTAAGCCTAACATATTGGTGCACTGATGACAAAAGGAGTAATTCAGTCTGAAAATAAAAAATTACCACTGCTAAGTTTACCATCACCACAACAAGTCCAGGATCATAACGCTGTAAAAAAGAAACACCATTTGTTAGGCAGAAACCATTAGGGGCAGAAAATAGGCCGTTTGTAGTAGGCAGGTAGGATGGGTTAAAAAAAAAAAATAATAATAATACGAGGCTTCTTCCTCACCCCTCCACCCCATCACCATGCTTCGCCCTGTGGAATCAGGGAGCGCGCAGATTTTGAGCAGTTGTCATTTGTTTTGAGAGCTGCACTCGCAACCAGAGAGTTTTGGGTGTTGGAAGAGGCTGAGCTCCTGGTGACAGCCCAATTTAAGACAGGCACTGAGGCACATTTAAGCAGGCAGTTTAAAAAGGAAACAAATCAGGATCTTAAGGCAATCACAAATACTTTGGGTCAAAAGGAGCTCTGGTTTTCAGGTAAGAGGAGAATATTCAATGTGAAAAGCAACGCCTTTGTTTTAAACTTAACCATCATTTCATTACGAATGAAATACCACGGCAGCCGGCCAGCGCAGCCGCCCAGCCTGACATCCAGCCGATGAGTGCCAAGTCCGAGCGCCCCGAGCACGTAAGACGGCTACGGGCAGCAGCGCCCATCCCCACCACCGAAATCACGGCTCCGTCCGAGGCAGCAGGACACGCTGCTGGGCAAAGCACTGGGTGGTGGGTCATCAGAGCCGGGGAAACCTCGCTCCGTGTCCTCGGAAAGCCACTGCGGCTGATGGAAAGAAAGGGGTTGTGTGTTGCCAAAGGGGCACCGCTCACGCCGTTGACTGCCAAGCGGGCTGGGCGGAAGATGGAGAACAGCCAAAGGGGAAAATGGGACTTTTTCAGTTAAGCTCTTTAAGTTCTCCTTTTAAAGAGCTTCCTGAATAAAATTTATTCCAGAGCTACTGTGCACGACAATGGGATCTTTACCAGCACGTAAATGGGGTTCTCGGATGTTGCAGGACTCACAGGTTTCATGTCCCTGCCGACCCTTTTTGGGTACACCAGCATACTTTGAAGGGGAAAACTGAGTTTTCAAGAGAGAGCAACAGTTCCCACACTTTGTGCCACTATGCAGGGTTGCAAGCGCTGCCACACTGACAACTAACACCCCATACGGTAAATCATGCAGAGCACACGAAGTTGTGTCTGTTCCTCAACCCCCTACACTCTAGAAAATTTATTTTCTTTCTGAATCAGGTCACAAACTCTTTCCTTTACAGACTGGTCACACTGCATGGGCTACAAACCCCAAACCAGAGAGGGTTATTGTGTAAAACACTTCCATGCAAGAGGAAAACCGCTGTGGAGAGGACAAAGCATAAACCTCCAGCACGATGGGAAAAACAAATAGCTTGCTCAAGTTGCACCTTAGAAAATCCAATCTCTTAAATTAAGTTTGTAATTATTTCCTTAATTCAGAAACAAAATGAGACTTCAAAACTGACCAGACAGACTTGGTTTGCTTCCCTCTTCCCAAAGAAACAGGGAAACCTTTCTCCCAGCTTGGGAAAAGCTGCTCCCCTCTAAATACGCCCTGACAGCCGCCCTCCTTCCTAGAGCCCCGTGCCTGCCCAGAGCTCTGCCAGCGGCAGCTTCTCCAAATTCCCTCCTTTTCAATCGCACAAAGTTCTTGACTATGAGCAAATACTTTGTTAGCAATGCTATAAATTAACAAATCTTGGGAAGGGAGTTAATCCTAACGCTTCGGGGCTTTAGCAGCAGCCCCCAAGTCGTGCTGTACGCGGAGGATGATCGTTTCACAGTTGCCAGCTGCAGGGTGCGTGCTCCGTCTCTGGACGCAGCGGGTAGATGCTGCTCTGCTCTTCGGAACAGGACGCTGCACCAGATGGACCTGCCATCTGAGCCCGTCTAGAAACACTGGCGTTGTCAACACTAGTGCACATTTATTTTTTTCTTTTTTTTAAGCAGTCGAAACAGAAAACAGTTTTCACTGACAATTTGCAGACTCAGAAGAACTCCTCCCTCCAGCAATATCATGCACTGCAATAGATAAAAGACGTTTCTGAAGGTCTGTTTAAAGAGAAAGACTAGGATGCTCCCATTGAAAAAAGATATACCTCCAAAATTACGCATTAACATGATTCAATCAAATATATCTCTGTGTATCACTTACGCATAGCATGCAAGCACCAGAGAGGTAATAGAACAGCCTTAATCCTGCTCACTATGTTGACAACTTAATAGAAATTCCTCCCAGGTACAAGCTTTGTGGGATACAATCCTAGAGGACTGACTGATACCACACTTTATCAGAGGAGATTTCATGAACTAAGTGTCACAGGAGGATACAAACAATGGGACGTGATCTCGCTGAGCACAGAGGATTTTTACTTATTCGCTATCTTTATGCCACGACTGAAAACAAAACCACAGTAAGAGACAACCTTCTAGGAGGTTTTAATTGCTCTTGGAAAGGGACCGCCGCAGAGATTAGAAACGTGGCCGTGCGAAGGCAGCGCTGGGCAGTTTCACGATCACACCACTGGATTTGCTCTGGTGGATAAGGGTCAGTTTGTTCAGTCACCTGCAGTACAAACCCCACTGCGGGCTGGGGAAGGTAAATAGGTGCCCGCAGTCAGCTATCAATGCCCACAGGAATGCATCACAGATATTAGGATTTTGCAAGCTCTCAAAACTTTCCGGGGTCTACTGCAGGTTTCAATAGCCCTACAGCTGTCATGTTGGAAATTCAGACTCCTCATTCAGTACATCAAAAGGCGGGAGATGAGGAAATCCAGTAATTTTTACTGGTGAACAAGCTTTGGCATGTTCTGCGGTGCTCCTTGCTGGCTAAAAATGAAGCTACGTTCTCAAGCTTGTTCTGACTGCTGCAAGAAGCAAACAAACAAACAAGGGCAACCTTTTATCCTGCTCT